TCTTTTGTATATTAAACTGAGAATAAACGATATTCGTTAATTGCACCCCTAATTTCGTGCAGTCTTTCCTGAGCTATTTTCGCTAGTTGGGTAAATCATCGACGGGCCTCACTGAAAAGGTACTAGAAAAATGGGATTTACTAAATAAAAAAGCAGTATAATTATAAGATATTCTTCTTCTCTGTGCATTTCTGCTTTACGTTTAGAGTCGCTTGTTAACCCTGAAGCAGTTAGCGAGTCGAAATACCTGCGAATTGATATCAGGGTTAGCAAACACGCGTTCAATCGGAAAGGACGCGTCAAAGAAGGCATGTGGAAAGTGGCCATTTAAATTCTAATATCGAATCCGAGAATGTGTGTTGAGAAATTAGGTAAATGGTGTTCTACATTTGGCCACTTCTGACGAAAAAAACTTTTCTATAACAAAACACGTGCTACGCGTGCTCGATTGTATGATGAAAAACGCTCACTCGCAATTGTATAGATATAGATTTCACTTTGCGATCGGTTTTGATTCAATGCAACCTGCCCTTTTAAAACTAGCGTAAAGGGCACATGTTCCAATTTCACGTGCTGCGTGACGTTAAGCATTTATCAATGGGAAATCTAATTTCCTGTAGAGCTTATAACGGAGTTTTAAAGTTGATATCAGTCAACGACACCTATTTTTGTTTTCATCTTGGAAAGACACAAGTTTATATGATTTACGCTTGTTTTACTTCTACGAGTGGCTTTTACAAGTTATTAGATTTCGCGATCTCCTCCTTATTGGTTATCCCATTATTCCGATATGATGATTGCAGCCTTATTGTCATTGTCTTCAAACTCCTACACGTAGATCAATATACTCACTTTAAAAGGTGAATGACTCTCTTTCCACACGTACGGTGTTCTTTTTTAGTTCCCATTTCGAAAAACAGCGGCAATTTCATTCATCTAGTGTTACAGAAATCACTAGCTTTCTCTGTATCAGGCCTATAAAGGAAAAGGGGTGGGAATGTGATAAACCGAAACGTTACATGCCAATAAAAATTCACTTTTGTCTGTAAAAACAGTTAACCTGCTGTATAATAGCGATAGCAGCTGGAACACGTATAGTCCAGTAACTTTGTTGCTAAAAATAGGGGGTACCAAGCGTCAAATCCGGTAGTTCTGATTTTTTGTGGGATTGCTTATGTTGTTAACCCAATGTATAATTCAAGTTTTCGACCTCGAGCGGCGAACGCAACATAGTCAAATATACTAAAAACCGAGGAATTTTCGTTTTCTTTTCAGATTTTGACGATTATAGCAAATTTGGTCTGCTTTAAAAACTTATTGAACCGTTGTTGGCGAAAAACTGGTCCTTCAGGGTTAAAATCGTCAAAATCTGAAAAGGAAACGAAAATTCCTCGGTTTTTAGTATATTTGACTATGTTGCGTTCGCCGCTCGAGGTCGAAAACTTGATTTATACATTGGGTTAACAACATAAGCAATCCCACAAAAAATCAGAACTACCGGATTTGACGCATGGTCTGATGTATATAGTTACTGGACTACACATTCTATAAGAAAATTTTTTTTCCTGGTCGATTCTGAGACAATTTTTTTTTCGGGGCTCAAAAAAAGGCAGAACCTTCCTTTTTTACCAAAAATCGACTGCACCAAAATTTCTCGGGAAAACACTTTTTCTTATTAATTTTGGTGCGTAGAATCCAAAACGATTCGTACTTTTTCGATCGGACTTCTCAATCAACAAAAGGTAAGGGTCTTTTCAGTGGACAAATTGGACATTCAATCCGCTTCAATCGCTGCCTTTAAAGTCACTATTCCCACAACTGAGACAGTCAACATCTACAAACCTGACATGTGGCCTCTATACACAATAATACGCCCGTTTCGCATCAGCAGAAATTTTCCTGGAGCCGGCCAGTTACAACCGCCAACGTAAAGAACGACGTGACTCCTTATAGGAATCAAGATATATTTGCATTTGATGTAGTACATCTCAATGTAAGGTCATTGACGAACAAAGTTCATTATATTGAAGTTTTATGTAGTACTTACAATTATAATGATTTATGTTTTAGCGAGACTTGGCTGGATGACAATCAGGTGAATCTAGTCACAATTGCTGGATATACTATAATGTCACATTTCTCTAGAAAGCAACGAAATGGAGGGGGAGCGGCTATTTTCTTGAAAAACGAGTTAATTAAACAATCCCACAATCCCATTCACTTGAATTTGTTAACAAGTTTGGAATCGAGAACGTGTTTGAGTGTTGTGGGGTGTGTATCTCTTACGACGTTTGCATTGTTACAATATACCGCCCTCCCAACAATAATGTTGACAGCATAAATTTATTTTTACACACATTTCATTATTTAATGTCAACCGTACGAAATCGTTACAAATATATTTATGTCTGTGGCGATCTGAATATAAACCAGTTAAAAAATGACAAATCATTTGTAGCTCTAAGAGACGTGCTAAACTTACATGGTCTAACGTCTATTATATCAGAGAAGTAACTAGAGCTCAGCAACTGCCTAACGCATCTGAGATGAGCGTCTCCTCAATTGATTACATATTGACTAACAATACCAGTTCCATTAAAATAGCAAAAAATTATGAGCTTGGTCTGTCTGACCACTTTGCGCAATATGTAAAAATAAATATCGAACACATTAAACTAGTAAAAACAAAAAATGAATATAAATTATCCAGGTCACTTCACGACAGTTCAAAATTAAACGAGTTCTTGTATCTACTTAAAGGTTCTAGTTTAGGCAAACACAGTAGGAAGAATAATCTCGAGAATAATCCTAATCGAAAATTTAATACATTTTATGACAGCTTTACTTGGTGTATGGATAGGTCATTCCCAAAAATTCATAAGCGAATTATACCTACACTTGGCTTTCGGAAACAAAAAATCGTATTTTCTTCGGAACTCCAAACCAAATATAATATCTACAAGAGCCTCGCATTAATCAGCAAAGTGTCAAAAAACGATAACATGAGTAGGACCTTAAAAGATATGTACAGATCATTGTCTAAAGAAATAATTGCCGAAAAGAAAAAACATTTCTCGCAACAAATTGCTACTCACAACAAAAACCCTAAGTACTTCTGGAGTTTAATAAAAACCAAACCATCGACTACCACGACAACTCAAACCACCAACATAGAGGCAAATGATTTTGCCACATATTTTGGTGCAATGATACCATCTCCGAACCAAGACACTTTGACCGATAATAAATTCGTCTGCACCTCATCGTGCACCTCTAACTCCTTTTTTTACAATCCCTGCACACCGAACGAAATTTATAATATCATTCATTCTCTAAAAAATAACAGTTCTCCTGGATTCGACGAAATTCCCAACAGCTTATTAAAGGCATGTTCTCCTTACATCATTTCAGACCTATCTG